TATATAGATATCCATGTTTTTTTAAATGTTTAATGTTTTCGGCTATTCCTAAAGTAATATTTCTAATGTATATCATAAAACATTTTATAATTTTTTATATATGAGAGAAATATACTTGTAATAAACAATCAAAGAAAACCGACAATGAGAAAGCTATAGAAGGAACAAATAAGATTGGAAGAAATCTATAGCAGGAAATTTGCACAACAATGAGAGATCCGGACTAAGATCCCAGGTAAAATTTGTCGGCTTCGTAGACAAACGTCAGACAGATGGAAAAAACTTAGCTTAATCCTCTTTGTCGGCAATGTTAAAATAAAGCGCATCATATTCCTTTTACCTCCCAGATTGAATACACCAGTTTGACCGTTGAATTATTTTGATATGCGGAACGAACAGTCCTTTGATAGGAGCCGAATAAATATGCCTTTAGGACTTTCTTGGTTGTTACCGCGAAGGTCAGGGCCAGGGTATCAGTATCGAGAGAAATTACAAACGCGGCAGAGGAACACACCGAAGAACAGGGAAAAGCACGAAGAAAAGTGAACAGAAAGAAGAGAGAGGAAGAGAGAGGAAGAGAGAGGAAGAGAGAGGAAGAGAGAGGAAGAGAGGAGTGAGAGAGTGAGAGAGGGAGAAAGAGGAAGAGAGGAAGAAAGAAGTGAGAAAGGGGGAGAGAAGAGCGGGGACAGAACGAAGGAAGGAAGCGACGAGCAGACGAAAGTAAAGGAGCAATGACTCACTGTGTATATCCGTCGGTGCGCGTGTTTACTGACGACGATGCCGGGACGACGATGACGACGCCGCTTCTTGGCGATTCGGGAACGACTGGCGGTGTAGCCGCGGACCCATGCTCTCGCGAAGGTGTCAACTCCCGTATTCGCGGCGATTCGCCGTGAACTGCAACGCGGACACACATCATGTTTTTTCCTATCCTTTCTCTCCTCGTTCCTCCCTATCTCTTCCTCGCCCCTCTCACTCTCTCTCTCTCTCTCTCTCTCTCTCTCTCTCTCTCTCTCTCTCTCCTCTCTCTCTCTCTCTCTCTCTCTCTCTACT